GACTTCCAGATAAGAAGGAACATGGTGAAGATGGTCAACGAAGGCCGCTTAATGCACGAGGCATTGAGGGAGTCGATGTTGGACACCACCATCAAGGAGAGATACTTCCTTACACCGAACGTGTACTCGCAGGTGGCGGTCAGTCATGGGCGGCAAGACTATTGGAGATCCCGGAGCCCTCCGGCAGAAAGAAGCTGGACATCAGACAGGCCAAGAGATGGCGACAAGGGCAAGGGCAAGTCGCGGAAGGGCGGCAAAGGAAAAGGAGGCAAGAAAGGCAAGTACCATGACCGTACTCCCGACGGAAGACAAATATGCTGGAAATGGAACAATCCGAGGGAGAGGTGCCGCTTTGCGTGTGACCGGTTGCACGTATGCCAGATCTGCTTTGGTTCGCACCCGTCGCATGCCTGCGATGGAAGCGGCAAGCCCAAGGACACCGCTGGGGGAGCCCCCGATGGCGGCAACCGGGCGGCCTGACAGGACACACGGGTGGACCCCGCCCCAGGTCCATCCGAGGCAGGGGGCACAACGAGGGGCACACGGAATTCAGCAAGCAGCACCTCGAAGAACATCCAGGTACTCTACCTCTTCAGTGGCGCCCAGAGGAAATCCTCAGTGACTTCGAGGCTGGTGAAACTCGGGGAGAAGCGAGGCATCAACTTCCAGGTGCACGAGATTGACATCCAGAATTCACCAAACTGGGACCTCGCCAATAAGGACGTGCAGAGGGACCTGTTGCACAGGGTTGCAGCAGGTGAGTTTGATGTGGTCTTGGTTACACCCCCGTGCTCCACGTGGAGTAGAGTGCGGGGCGCCAACTGCAGGGGACCACCTATGATCAGGTCACGTTCCTACCCATGGGGCTTTCCATGGTTGTCAATGAAGCATCGAAAGGATGCAGACCTCGGCAATGTCCTGATCATCTTCATGCTGGATGTGCTCGAGGCCTTGGAGCAACATCCGGTCTCAAGCGGGGGCTACATCATTGCGGTCTTTGCGGAGGACCCGGAGGACTTGGGAGTTGCCTGGAGAGAAGAGGATGGCATGAAAGTGGACCCGGCATCTATCTGGCAACTGGACAGGCTGCGCACGTTAGTGAGGTCAGACTCACCCTTGGCGTTGTACACGGTTGTCTTCAACCAGTGTTGCTGGGGTGCCCCATACCGCAAGCCTACACGCTTGCTTACCAACATGTTGCCCTTGAAGAGCTGGGGTCCATGCCAGTGGCCTCAATTCGATACACATCGCAACTACTTGGGTCCCCAAGTCGTGGCCTGTCAATGCAGAACAACGGTCACTTTGGCAAAGAAGCCCAATGACACGGGCTTTCGCACTTCGACCACGTCGGTCTACCCAGAGCGCATGGACCGGGCTCTTGCAGAAGCCATTTTGACCACTTGTTTGACTACCCCTCCTTCAGCTAAAGAAGGGGGCCAAGAGAAGGAGTGGCAGGTCGGCGATGAGAACCCAGGGGCACTGCCTGCTGAACAAGGTGAAGGACATGGTCTACAGCCGGGACAAGAAGGAGCCGGTGATCAGGGAGTCCAAGATGGGCAAGGTCGTTCCTCGGAGAAGAGGGCGAGGGAGGAGGATCAGACAGAGGTGAAGCCCGGCCTCGCAAAGGCTGCCAAAGCCCATGGAGGTGCCGGGCCGCCCATACAGGTCAGCTACAAAGGTGAAAGGAGAGCGCTTCATGACGGTGCGGGATTGTGCTCGCCGGGGAGATGGCCTGTGAAGAGGAGGAGGCTGCCGAGCTCAGAGAGGGCGTCTTCGACATGTTCGTGGTTTGAGGAGGCCTTCAACAGCTGGTTGGAGAAAGTTGGGGGCGAGACGGCAAAGGGCATCTTCTGGAAGATGGCTGCGGGCAAGGTGCAGCAATCTCCCTTCGAAGAGGGCATGGCGGAGTTCCGGAGGAGCCTGGACGAGCACCTGGGTCGATGGGGATTGGACCCATTGAGGAAGAAGACCGATCGATCCTCGGAGATCAACTTCAGGAGGATGAGGGCGCTGGCGGAGGCCTTAGATGATGAGGACTGGGAGTTCCTGGGCACGGTGGCCTCCAAAGGAGTTGAGCTGGGGGTGGATATTCGGATGCCTCGTACTCCACTGGTCTATGAAGAGAAGACGAGATGGACGGTGGACGCCACTGATGAGAACGCGGAGGACATCGCCAGGCAAGTGCTGCAGGAGGTGGACAGAGGCACTATCATCAGGATGTCAGAGAAAGAGGCCAAGGAGCGCTATGCTGGGAGGCTGGCGGTGGCTGCACTCGGTGCCGTGCCCAAGGAGTTGGGAACGAAGAAGGTGCGACTCATACATGATGGCACCTACAGTGTGGACGTCAATCGGAGGATCAGGGTGTTGGACAAGATGCGATTCCCGCTGATTGATGACGCGGCGGCCATACTGAGGCAGGTGCAGGAGGAGGTGGACCAGAACAAGGGGGAGATCAGGTTCTCGGTGCTGTATGACATCGTCAGGGCACATAAACTTATCCCGGTGGTGGAGGACGATTGGGGGTTGCAAGCTTTCAGACTGCCGGGGGACTCTTCGGGAGACGTCTTCATGCACACCAGGGGCACCTTCGGGATCGCCAGCGCTGCATACTGGTTTGGCCGTGCGATAGCAGTGGGGGTGAGGTGCGCCCACAGGTTGCTGGGGAGGCTTCATGGCGTGTTGCACCTCATCTACGCCGATGACGGCTGGATCACGGCAGTTGGAAAGGACTTCTGGCAGAGGATCCTCATGTGGTTCTTCATCTTTGAGCTCCTGGAGGTGCCGGTGACTTGGGCCAAGGTGAGAGGAGGGACCCAGGTCGACTGGATCGGGTACTGTCTGAACGTCCACGACTACCAGAAGGGCATCAACAGTTCAAAGAGAGGCTGGATCGTGGGCTGGATCGAGACAAAGACGGCCCAAGGAGGTGTAGTGGGCAGAGAGTTGAAGTCAGTCCTGGGCAGGCTGAGCTTCGTGGCCGGGGCCCTCCGACACGTGAGGCCCTTCCTGGCGCCCTTGTTTTCGTGGGCCTCTACCATGGCGCCGGGGACCTTCTCTAACTTCCCGGACGCGGTGCTGATCTTGCTGGAGTTTATCAAGGAGGAGGTCACGAGAAGGCCGATGAGGCCTGCGGAGCCGCTGGAGAAGGACCCCATTGACATCTTCCGAGTAGACGCCAAAGCGGCTGGAGAGGAGATAGTGATTGGAGGTTGGGAGACGGGCGCAAATCCCGATCAGTTGAGGGCGCGGTGGTTCTCGTTCAGCCTGAACAGGAAGAACGCGCCCTGGGCCTACCTGAAGGGCGATCCTTTCAGGAACATCGCCTCCTTAGAGCTCATTGGGGTCTTGGTGGCGGTGATGGTCTTTGCACCAGGTTCGACATGGGTGAGAGGAGGAGCGGCGGTGACACTGACCGCGTACACAGACAACTTGGCGAACACCCATGTCTTGAAGAAGTTCGGCTCCAGTAGATACCCACTGTCGATCATTGCCATGGAGTTGGCTGTTCAGCTGGATATGGCGGGGATCGACCTACAGTTGCAGTGGGTACCACGGGGTCAGAACCAACCAGCTGATGACCTTACAAACTCACGGTTCGATGACTTTGATAGCAAGAACCGGATGAGCGTGGTCTTTGAGGACATGCCCTTTAAGGTCATGGGAAAGCTGCTGGAGAAGGCAGGCGACTTGGACACGGAGCTGAAGCTCTTCAGAACCTCCAAGGAGGCCAAGGCGGCGCAGCAGAGCTCCTCTTTGGCGACTGGGAAGAAGGCCAAGAAGGGCGAACTGCGCTGGAGAGATCCTTGGTGAGGACCGTGGGGTTTGTTGAGAAAACTTGGGTTTCCCTCAATAGGCGGGCTAGGAGTTTTAAGGACGGAGGGGGAGTGCAGGCCTCGCTTCGTCTAAAGTTGGGGGAAACATACGAAACGAGGTCAGTCACGAGAAACCCCTTCTTAAGATAAG